CTACACAGGCCACAGCTGATCAGACCCCTCCCCAGGAAGAGCAGGTCGCCACAGCCACAACCCCGCATGCGACAGCCCGCGCAGGACAGCATGCAGACGCGACGGGGGATGCCCAGCCACAGACGTCCCCCCCCCCACTTTAAGACGCCCACCCTGGGAAACTCCCGGGTGGGGTGGCATCCGACACCCGAACCGTAGCTCTACCAGCAGCAGCAAAAAGTGGCAATCCCGTGAGTCTACCGCTGGGCATGGATCACAGCGAGTCGCAAACAAGCGCGGCAAATACTCCTTCAAACAGATGCATCGGGGGAACAGACAGATGCGCAGACCAGACCCCCAGCCGCAAGAAGGACCCGGATGGGGTTACCGCTTTGCCCAAGACAACCCGGATATCCCCGAACACGGGGGAGGCAGCACCAGCAGCTCCGAAGAGACAGACACCAGCCACGACAGCTCTGACGGGGACCACACATGGAATGATCGTCCCCTCCCCAATACGGAGTCTGCAGCTCAAGCGGGGGACAAAGAAACCAACAGAGCGCGTGAAGAGTGGGAAACACGGCCCACCCCCCAGGACACAGCACAGCAAGCTGGAGCCACCGAGCTCCCTCCGCACGCAGCAGCAGCAGCCAACGAGCAACAACAAGTCTGCAACCACCTGGCCTCGACGCACGACACTGGAGCAAGTGGAAGCACAGCACCCGCCTCCAACTACGACCACTCCGGACAAGGGGAAGAGGACCTCAACTACCCACCAACCATCCAGACCTCCGGCAACGCCTTTTACGCCATGTACAGGCTGACCCACGGCTGCTGGGAGATTGTTGTGCACTACCATGACAACTACATCCCTGATGTCGGGGAAGATGACTCGCATATCGACCCCACCACTGGACTCCACGTGGCTGTTGAGGGGGACCGAGGACCTGCCGACACGGCTCCCCCGTTCAGCGCGGGCACACGCATCCGCTTCACGCAAGTGGGTGACGCTTTGTGGTACGCTTTCGTCATAGAGGCACCCACGGCCCAGCTTCACGAGCCTGCCACGCTCCTCATTGCAGAGGGGGACAAACTGTCCTTCGGCAGGGGAAGAGGAGGACACTGGTACATGGCGGTGGAACAATACAGCACGTCAGCAGCACCAGACGTTCAGCAAGCACGACGGCAGGTCGTGCAAAAACAAAGAGGCAGGGGGAGCGCGTCGTCCACAACCAAGCCTGGAGCGACAAGCCACACACAACCACCACCACAGGCCCAGCCACAGACCCGTGCCACACAGCCTGCGCCACCCCACCAAGACCGCTCGGCCCGGAGTTCCACAGACCCCCCTCCAGTCCAGACCCAGCAGGCTACTGACGAAGCGGGGGACGAAGACAAACCACAGCGACACAACGCCTCTGCACCCCAAGAGCAGACTTTTTACCCGGTGCGACCAGCAAGACACAACAATCACACAAGCCCCCCCGAGCCGACGAAACCAACGGAGCAGTCTGGCGAACCACAACGAACACCACAAGCAGACAGACACCCTCTCCTCGACGATCGACAACTTCGACGCGGGCAAACACAACAGTCGCTACCGACAACACCCTTCCACCAGACAGCACGCAACACTCCTCAAGCTCCGCCGCCACCGGGTGATGACCACTTCTACCCGAAAGTCCGCGACAAACGCAACATCGGGGGAAGAGAGCGACCAACCACCACACCTACCCCATCGCCAGCGCCACCACCTGCAGACATGGACGGCGACGATGACAACGACCACGTCGACCTCATGCAACAGAGCATTCCACGCCCCCCCACGCACAAGCCAAACAGCAAGCCTGACATACCATCCAGCCGCCACGGCGCTCGGACAACTGCCACTGCCGCCCACTCGGAGCAAGCTGCCACTCTGCCACAACCACCCACCGCAGACATCCTTGTGCCCCAGCAGAGCCAAGCTGCCCATAGCAATGCTGCCACCGCCTCGACTGTTCCCGCAGCAGACACGCCCGCTCCCCTACCACCCACCCAGGAACCCAATACACAACAACCACAGTTCGGGGGAAGGCCGCTGTGGCAGCAGCTCGAAGCACACCTTATGGCCATACGACGGCTCTCCGAAAACCTGCCAGGGGGCCGACCGATACTACAGATCGCTGACAGCGCCTTGATTGATGTGCTGCTGTACACTGAAGCCGATGAGCATCTCACAGCAGTTTCCACAGACATAGCACAGAGAGGAGAGGGAGAACAGGGGGATGCCGCTACACGCGCGCCGAAACGGCCGCGGCCCGCACGGGGGAAGATGACCACAGCCACGGCCATACTGCGCCTGGCTGACCTTGCTCGGTTACAGCTGTCACAGCATGCTCATGTTAACATTTGCCATGCAGAGTTCACGCCATGCATTGATGCGCTTGTGCAACGGCTGCAACGCATGGCGGGGGAATGGCTCGCAGAGCGCGGCGTGCCGGACATGATGCAGATGCTCCGCACACTTCTCCTCAAGATAGCGGGGGGACAGACCGCCATGACAGCGGACGACTGGAGGCAACTGCTAGATGTATGCCTCTCCCTCAAATCCCTATTCGAGACGACTGAGGGGGAAGTGCAAGCGCAGCAGCTGGAAGCAAGGACCGGGGAAGAGGTCGACGCCTTCGAGCAAATCGCTGTCACCCTTTCGTTGTCGTCAAGGGGGACGCTGCAAGAAGCACAGGCCAAACTTTTGGAACTGCTGCACCAGGCCTCGGCGTTGCTTGCTGCTCAAACAGAAGAAGGGGGACATGCACCGCTGGACTCGCCCGCCATGGAGAACGTCGCCCTTCAAACATGGTGGGACCACGATCGCCACCATGGACTGGGGGACGCAGCCCGGGCCATGCCATCAAGATCCTCAGCGATGCGGCCGGGGGATGCTGACCAGAACGCGGGGGACACGGACAACGATGGCATGTCTGACACCTCCCACCGACGACGCCGAGCCCTCGCAGAACACGTGCACGACTACTTCTGAGGGGGAGCTGAGAGTGGGAGTAGCCTGAGGGGGATCCGGCCCTCCTTTAACTTCCTTTTGCAGGGGTTACTTCGGTGTTCAGGTTGTTTCGGTGGTTTGCTTGCTTGCTTTCGGGGGATCCCTCCTCTCTTTCGTTTCTGTCACGATCCAGGGACGCAGGCCCCCTCTTACGGTGACCTCCTCAGGCCGGGTTGTTGTTCTTTATGGTCCTGTGCCCCCCTCATGATCACGGGGGGAATGCGCCCCTAAACCACGAACAAAGGTCCATTCGGGCTCTTTTTGAACGAGTAGCTGCTACCATAGGGACCGCCTGGTGCTCGAAACCCCCCGCTCCTTTCCTTCAGCCCTTTTGTAGCCAGTGTTTGCCTGTTTCATGCCAGAATAAGGGGGAGAGTGACAGGCCACAATCTTTGTCCTAACAAGCATGGTCCTCTTTCAGACGGCATTTGTTAACTCGTTCGTTTACCCTAGCTCTTTACTCTGGTAGCTTCGTGACACGACGGAAAGAGAACCATGACATCTCCTTTCAGCCACAAGCCTCGGGGGACATGCCTTGGAGTTCCTGTCCTTTTCCCTTTGATGTGTTATTATTGTAGGCCACGTGTTGTTTCCGTGTTATTATGCTCTGCTCATGCATGTCCGCCCTTAACTCTACAGCGTGGCTGCAAAGGGGGAACCATTTCACACTCAATGTCTGTACTTGCCTCGCTCGTAAAGATACCGGGGAACCCATCACATCTTTTACCTAGGTGTACTTTTTTGGCAACCATTTATCCCTCTGACTATGCATCCGTATCTTTCTTTCTTCTTTTTTCCGATGATGGGGGAACCATATCTT